GAGTGGGTGCAGGATCCAAAAAGGCTTCATAAAGGAGTATATTCTCGGGCCAAATGCTGGGGTACCGGAAGGTCAGCAGGTTTCACAGGTGTGCAAGAGAGAGGAGAGCTTTCCAGCGGGGAGAAGTGTAGGTCAAGGCAGAGGGGAGAAACATCAGGGACTGGGTGATGGGGGTCTTAGCAGGATTTTAGACTTCATCCTGGAGGCAGTGGAGAGCTTACGAAAGATTTTAAGCAAGTTAATAACCTGATCAATTTTTTTCCCCAGAGAGGTCACTTTGCTTTGTTGTAATGTCTGAAATATTTTTGAAATACATTTTAAAAAGCAAATAACACTTTTGAAAACCTATTATAAAGGACTAACAATTATTAATTCTGAGTAGACAACTGTCATTACAGTCATTATACTTACATTAAATTTGCAACTTCTCAAAAATCACAAAACTGCTAGGAAAGATCATCTGGCACAAAACTGCTAGGGAAGTTCATCTGGCAGCAGAGTGAATGATGGGTTGGCTCACAAGACTGGAGGCAAAGACGTCAGGAAAAAGATGACTGCAGTGGTCCCAGGAAGGCAGGATGGTGGTGCCAATGGAGGCAGTGAGAGAGACCTGCAGAGAAAGGGCTGTACTGGAAGAGGCCCATGAGTAGAAGAATGGACTGTATCACCTAAGGAGCGTGAGTGAGAGAAGAGGCAAAGTGAAAGATGACCCCTGGGTCACTGGTTTGGATGACTAGATGACGGTGTGCCATTCCCTGAGACTGGCCGCTCATCGAGGTAGTGCTGTGCTTGGTAGGTCTCTTCTGATGGAGACTGGAGGCATCTTTACAGGGCCAACCTCCAGATCTGTGTTTTGTAGAGAACTATTCTTTTGGTTTGGTTAATTTTGGTAGCACTTAAAAGGATGTGGAAATATGGGAAGGAAGATAATTTAAAATTGTGTGGTTAAATAGCTCTATTAGTGGGATTAGATTTTTTTTAATCCACCCATACCTCCATGACATTAAAGGCAGAAAGGAAGAAAGCCATTTTAAATTGTCCATATCCATGTCAGGTGTAGTGGAAGCGGTCACCTAATACGGTGAATGATCACCTACATTTTTTAAAATATAGGTTTTACAGTTTCCTTTGGCAATTTACCTTTTACTCATGCTTTCTTACATATGTATGAAAATAAATTAGCATTCTCATAATCTCTTATCAGTACAGTATATGGTCAGTAGCACAGACTCTGGGGTCAGAATGAGGGAAAGTTCTGCCTCTACCTCGTGATAGCTATGTGATTCTGAGCAAGTGACTTTGCTCTCTGAGCTTACCTCTCAGATTTCCTGCAAGGATTCAACAAGATAATATATGTGAAGCAATTATAATGATCAAAATGACACACACAGTAACTGCTTAACCAATAGTAGCTATTTTTGTCAGTTTGGCTGTTGTTTTTTCTGTTTCTAAAACTGGCAAAATACCTTTCCTGAAGCATGTAGAGTAAGCGATAGCACCTGGATTGAAAATAAATATTTTTCTTGGGTAATCCACCCTGTGAAATGCAAATGGGAATAAATGACACTTCATCCTTTTTATAGAAATGGTCTGATCTATTAATGTTCACAGACTACCTGGCAAGCTAGGGCACTATTATGGGCATTTTCTATAATGTCTCAAATATTTAAACATTTATATTACAGAGATAAACATCAAAATGAATGTCAAGTTGATGGATCAGTAGAATAATGCTTCTTTCTTTCTTTTAGGCATATGAAACTCTGCTCCAGAAGGTACTTAATAAAGATTCCATCAATCTCTTTATCTTAGTTAAAATCAAGGTGATGAAACCCAAAGAAATCCATATTCATCTTCAAGTAACATAATACCAGAATTTAGCCAATTAAATCAAAGTTAATAAGTCATATAGTTTCTATTAAGACAAATTATACTTTTATTAGAAGATACTGGTTGCACTGTTTTCATAAAAACTGAAACATGAGATATAAGTTGAGAATTCGAAATAGTATTTTTCAGCCTATTACTAGAGAGAATTATAGCATTTGCTCAAGAAGTCCCAAGAGTATTCTCTAGCATGTGGGAGATGTTAAATATACCAAAGTTGTTGCAGATCTTCTCTAGTGTTATTAACTATTTGGCCCTGTTCACCCCTGTGAGAGGGGTGCTTGGGAAGCTGGGTGAATGTCCATGATTAAGAATCACTAAGGCAGAGTTCCCAGCATGACCAGCCATAGCTGTTCCTCACCAGAGGTGTCCACTAGAAAAATGCACACATCACTTCAAGAGTTAACGTGCTAGGTTTAACAGGTGGAGTGTATCATCATAAAACACATGCAGGTAGCTTAGAAGTAAAGGCAGCTGTGAAGGATGATGCTTCACTCAGGGCCAAGGTTTAATTTGAACTGTGGGGAAATGAAGGCTCCAATTATGAATTACAGCTTCCCAGAGGAGAAAATCCTCACGAAAAGGGAAATGATACTTCATGAAAAATGCTAGGTTGAAAACCAACATCAATTCACTGCAAAGGCAATGTGCTGTTAATCAAAGCCACCTTTGTGATATCCTCTAGGGAATGCTAGGGTTGCTGGTTATCTTGAGAACTTCTCCTGCTGAGTGATTTGAAATTCCCAGAACAACTTTCATTTTGCCCCAGAATCAAGGAATCTTGAGTGAGGCCCATGGTGTCCTCCTCAGCCAAGTGAATGAGCTTAGGGCAGAGCTGAAAGAGGAGAGCAAGAAGGCTGTGAGCTTGAAGAGCCAAAGGGAGGATATGTCCATCCTGCAGATAACCCTAAAGGAGGTAAGTGATGCTAATTGGAAGATACCATCAATTGTAAGTTACATTCCAATTTAAGAGATGTTAAGAAGTGTATCTTAGCAACCATATGGGTATTTCATTTTTATCAAATGAGAAAAATTTGGTTCCAAGTGGTTAATAATTTGCTCAAGATTACACAATTGGGGGAAAAGGCATTTATACTTATGCCTATTCTCCAAAGTCTTTGCTCAGTTATCATTTTCTGCTGCTTTCCTAACAGTAGAAACCCAAACACCATGAAAAATTGCTTCAGAGGATCCTCATTAATTCCAGTAAGAGTTTCTATCATACCTTCAGTTGGTTCGAGTCTTTCTAATTGAATGGCTCTTCGTGGGAGATGAACATAGGTCACCTCCTGCTCAGAGCCCACCCTGCAACAGGAAAGGGACAACTTGTGCAAGGTAATAGATTTTAACATTTTGTATCAGTCACTCTACTACCATTCTTAGTTTCAGGAGAGAGTTGAAGATTTGGAAAAAGAACGAAAATTGCTGAATGACAATTATGACAAACTCTTAGAAAAGTGAGTACCAGGTTTGGGTCCCAGAGCATTGTTTGTTAGATGATTATAGAAAAGTGCCTTCCAAATTTTAAAAATAATACTACTGTTGATAGGATATGGGGAAATTGGTACTCAATACTATTAGTGAGAATATCAGTTGGTGCAGTCTTTTTGAAAGGGAATTTGATGTTATCTATCAAGATATTAAACATGCACATCTGTGCCAGCAATTCCACTTTTTGGAATCAAAACTCGAGAAATCCTTTTATGTATGTGCAAAGATAATGTATAGTAAGAATGTTAATTACTGCTTTGTTAACAATAGTGAAGAAATTGGAAACCATCTAAATTTCTTGTGACAAGGATTGATTAAATAAATCATGTTGCATGCCCACAATAAAATACTATGAAGTTATTAAAAATAAGGTATAGATCCCTATGCCTGAGATTGTGTTAAAATAAAAATCACGTTGCAAAAGAATATGTTAAATCTGACCTAATTTATGATGTGTGTGTATGTGCACGTGTGTGTGTCCACACACTTTTGATGAGATAAAAGGATTGAAGTAGGGTGAAGAAGCGCCTTCACTTTTATTCTGTGTACTTCTGAATCAGCCTAATTTTTCACAACAAGCATGTATTCATGTATTAATTGGGAAATTAAAAATACCTAGAAGCTTAAAAAATTGAGGGTGACTTCTGACTCAGTTAAGGCAGCAGGAGGTAGATTGGGCAGGTAATATGGGGGCATCCTGGGCACAACTGATGGCCTTGGGAAAGAGATATGACTCAGTGAAATGAAGTAGCGTGGGGCTTATCCACTTTGGAGACTCCCTGTGACAAACATTACTCTTAGCCTTTTCCTTTCATCACTCAGAATACTTTCTTCTTGGATCATCCTGTAATGTATGGTCAGAAAGTGCCAAGAACTCTTAATACTAGCTAAAGCAAGTTGCTTTTAGGCCACATTTATTAAAATGATAAGTAGGAAAAAGATACAAACAGAAATAATAGCTTGATTAGCAACGTTACTTCTCTTGTGACTGCATTGATTCAATCAAGGACTGGCCGTGTGTGTTTTACACTCCGAGCTGGTCTGCCCAGACAGCTAGGTCCAGTGTGCAGGGTACCACCATCGCACTACCCTTCAGTGTAGCAGTTTATAATCTAGCTCAAAGGCAAGTATTCTCTAAACTAGTCATAGGTGGAGATAGAGAGAGGACTGGAGTAAGGAAAAGAGGAATATTTTGTTCCTCATTTCTACGCCAGCAGGCCTGAGAATGTCTTGGTATACAATTCCCTGCCTGAAGAAAGCCATCATGCTGGAGATGTTCCTTGGGAAAGAGATATGACTTGGGTTAATTTGCTCTGTGGGATATTTGAGACTTAAACAGGAGTGATACTAAAGAATTCCTCAGTAGGGCCCAAAAGTTCCAAGGCAGTTGGTAAATGACAGTTGCAGATAAAACAGGGGCAGCAGAAACCATGTAGAGGAATTAGTGATGAACTAGGCCTAGGAGATGCTGAATGTGTATAATAAAGATGTCACACCTCTGACTCTCCATCCAACAATTCTTCTCTCCCTCATCACTTGCTTCTGGTGTTCAGCATGCTGGACAGCAGTCAGCAGCGTGCCTGGAGCCCTGAGCTCGACGGAGAGCAGCTACAGCTGCAGGTCTCTCAGCTGCAGGCTCGGCTGGATGCTGAGCTGGAGGAGAAGGGCAGAGTCCTACTTCAGCTGTCCAGAGAAGAAGGTAAGTCAGGCCTTGAAGAGCTCTTAGATGAGGCCTCCTTGACATCTGGCTTGGGAGAAGGGAACTTAGGCCAGCATTTCTCCAACCCTCTCAAGTTGATCCTGTTTTTGTGGGGGTCGTGGAAAACTAGAGTAAGAACATTGGCAATCAGATCAGATTTACAGTGAGGAAAGCACGACACCTACCTCACACATATACTTTTTCCTCTGTAATGTTTTTTTTTAGTTGAGAGGATGCCAATTCTCTAATTATGTTTTTAAACATTTACTTTCTTTAATTGAAAGTACTGACAATGAATTCCTCTGCCTTTTATTCTGATCAGTCACCTTAGAAGGTGATTGGGAGCCTTTTATTTTTAGCACATGATACTTGAAATTGAGAAGCCAATTACTGCTCTTAGGCACCACTACCATTTTCCCCATCTAAACAGTGGCTCACAGTAGATAGTTATTCTAAAGATTTTTGAATACTGTTAAAGAGACCTTTGTCTCACTTTTTTTTTCTAGCCTGGATGCCTTGATATTTGATCTTATCAATCTTATATTTCTTCAGATTCTAGTACATTCACATAAGAGAGTGGAGAAAAATACAATATTGAGAAAAATAGAGACAGGAACCATAAAAGGATAAAGCTTAGGACCTTGTAGTATGTATGAATACAAGTAAAGTGTTATAAAGACCTTAGGGAAAAATAATCTAATCCCCTCTCTAATGCATGATGATGAGATGATCACACAGAACAACACACACACACACACACACAAGGAAATGCCCAAGTGCCTATCCTCTCTCCATCCAGGTCGGTGGCCCGCAGACAGCCAATAGCTTAGAAGTCAGAATGGTGCTGGGAAGAGTCGGTGAGATACCAGTTGGGATGGTGCTGTCCCAAAGTTTGGACTGTGTCAGTCAGTCTAGTGACTCTGCTGCTTCTTCTTGTCCTTTTCCTTTCCACTCTGCAGTTAGGTGTTTTTGGTTTTGTTTTGAATTCTAAGTGTCAACTCAGTTTACTAGGTTGAAAAGATAGAACTCCTTTGTAGAAATAATAGAGGATTGCTTCTGTAAGGGCAAATTCATAAAATGAACTAAACATTCATGGGAAAATTTAATTTATACTTGGTCCAACTTTAACCATGACTACTGATAACTACAGAGTTTCAACTTTCTGGATTATCTTTTCCCCAGCTCTAAACAAGGATCTGAAGCTTGAAGTCACCCACTTGCTTCAGAAGCATAAACAAGAAGTAGATAGCTTCCAAAATAAAGATACAATTTTCCAATGTCCTGATGGGCTATCTGAAACAACCACTCACCTGCCTCTATGCCAGGAGATCACTCAGATAGAGGTAAGAGCCTCTTTAATCAGGGAAGTCTCCTCTGCAGAGGGGTCTCTGGCAAATATCCCTATAAAAGAGGAAAGGACAGGAAAGCTAACTGAATAATATTTTATCCTGATTGAGGACAATACTTGGGAGGCTCTGAGAAGGCTGACAGTAGTGATAACCTTTGTGAGCTCCACATGATTTTTCCACTCTTTACACTTTATACAATTCAGAATCTTTTCCAGTTGAGGGCTTGAAATGATCTGCTGAAGAGCAAACAGCTGTTGAGGTTCTACAGCTTGCCCACTGCTGCCATTGAACCTGAGGAACTAGGGGAAAGAGCACTTGTGAAGTGACACAAGTCCTCATTTACATTCTAGAGTAGATTTTGTTGCTGGTACTTTACTGTTTCCAACAACTACTTTTAAACAATAGTTATTACTGTACTTGTCATGTTTATACTCCCTTTTACCAATGCTTTTTCCCTCTATAGCCCAGTGAACCAAAAAACCAAGAAGAAAAGAAACTGTCCCAGACATTAAAGGAGTTGCAAGCATCACATGGAGAGACCACACTGGAACTGGAAAAGACCAGAGACATGCTTATTCTGCAGTGCAAAATCAATGTGTGTTATCAGGTGCAAGAAAAGATGGGGATAGATACATGGGCACAAGGGAACCACTTATAAGACTGGGAATGAAGCAAGGCCGAAGTTGCCAGGGCTGTTGCAAGGTGATATGCTGTCCTGTGCAAACACAGAATATGCTGTCCTCTGAAGAACTTGAGGACTCACATCTGCCCAAGGCACCTAGGCTGCAGAAGCCAGGGAGGGGGCTGGCTAATGAGAAGGCACGTGTGAAGTTTCTGGGTGCACATTTTGCCAATCCCAGGAAAATACTTCCATGTGGCACTAATAGCCCAACTGGTCCTTGAGGGGTCTCTGGGGAGCCCAAGCCTTTTTCTAGTGGATGAACCTGCCCTGTTAAGGAGATAGTGGAGTCTCCTTTACCCAGAAAGTGCCACGTTTTTATCTGGGCTGTTTAGTTCTGGGCCACTGGAATAGGAAAGTTGAGACATTATTTTGTTTCAGGAGGAACTGGAGGCAAAGATGACAAAAGCCAATAATGAATGTAAAGACCGCAAAAAAAAACTGAAGAGGTTGAATCAGCTCCTAGACCTCAAGAACAATCGTATCAATCAACTGGAAGGTATTTTAAGAAGCCCTGGCCTTTCCATATCTGGCAAGTCTTAGTACCTTGTTCTGCTCCTCTTGGAACCTGTCACACAGCTAATGCCTGTGCTCCCCTCTGTGTACCTGTCTAGAAGGCCACCACTTATGTCCTCAGCATATGACTTATCCCTCCTGGGCTTTATCCTGACATCTTTGTTGTTTTAACACATGGTTGGCAACTTCTTTTCCTCCACTGTGTCAATGTCTTTCTTTGATTTCTCTGGAGAGTTTCAATAGGGTGCAACAATTGCTTAATTTATTTTGAGAATGAGAGTGTATCACTGTTGGCCCTCCAGGTGGTGTAACACCCTTGCTCTCTCTAGATTGTTTTGTCAACCCAGGCCTGTAATAGAAGTTTTTGCTAGACAATAGAATTTCATCATTCATCTCTACTCATCCTTTTCTCTGATTTCTCTCTAAAAGTCTCCAAATTTTTTGTTGCAGTTTGAGGATGTCTGCAAAACAGGGTAGCAGTCTGCAAATTTCATAATCTGGGTTCTTCCTATACTAAATAAGCTGCTGCTGACCAAGATCTGGTATCGGGTTTGCATGTCAAGGAAATTGGCTTTGTTATTATATCCTGTGGTGAGTGACCTGACTTACACTAACCGAATTCACCATAGACAAAATATTAAACCAGAAGGTTCATTTGTTATTTTACGACAGTGGCTGTTGTGTTGCTGCCAGAATATTCAAAAACACTGTTCCATGCAGCTTTCTCTCTGGAAAGCAGAATCAGTAAGCAGGTTACTTAGTGAGCATGGAACCAGAGTAAAGGAAGGTGGGGCATTCTGGTGCATGATTTATCCATGCCAGGGATAGTCTTTTAAAAGGTCACTGCCATGTAACAAGGGAGATCCCCCCTTGGATTGAAATGCTCAGGTCTTTCAGATTCAGGGTCTTTCTCTTGGTACAGTGCAAGATAAATACCCTTAACTACTTAAGAAGATTCATTTGCTTTAACTTACAGTTCTTTCACTACTGGTAAGGCTAAAGAGTTTTTCATATGTTTACCAGTTACCTGTATTATTTATTTTGAGAATTGTCTTTTCCTGTTCTTTTTCTGTTTCTTAATAGTATTGTTATTGATTTGTTAAAGTTTTTTATATGCTCAGATTATTAATCCTGTGTTATATAGTGCCTAATTCTATGTATGTTTTATTTAGTTTGGTATTAACCTTATTAATTAAGGAACCATTAGTCAATCTCTCTATTCCATTTTGGGGGTCAGGAAGACATTCTTATATATCCAAAATATTTTTATTCTACTACTTTAACTCTTAAAATAGGACCTTCACCATCAACACACTGTGATGATTTTAAGACTCCCCAATTTGAAGCAGACCATATATCAAAGTTTCTGATTGGTTGGACATGGGAGATAATGCACAGATCTGGTAGACTGTCTTACATATCTTTGCCACCCCTTGCCAATATTTTTAACCTTTCTCCGATAAGTATTCTGCTCCGCTTTTTACTCCCATTACTCTTTGACTTAAATTGGGTTTCTTTTGCCCTCTTACAACAAAACCAAATTCTCAACAGAATGAATATTCTTGTAACTGATCTGGCTGGAGAAAGAAAATCATTTCTTGGTGGGGCCCAATGTAATGCAACATACATAGCGACTGTAACTTGCTCTTCCATGGCCAATATGTCAAACTCTAGGAAACAGTCACATTTTGTGTTCCTAGTGCTTCTCCAGTGGAATTACCAATCAGTTCATAGGGCCTTGCTGTAAGCCCGGACAGTGTCATCTGCAGTTGAAATTGTGCCTCCAGTGTTTTCCTGAGTTTAGTGTTTACTTTCCAGTCACTCATTTTGAACCTTATTTCTAAAAGAGTCATTGGATTATTTGGCCATCAGAATACAAAGCTCCTGATTGTCATTCTTGTATGTTTTTTCTTTTGAATCACATGGTTCCTTAAAAGAATTACAACTTGGACTTCCACCATGGTTTTTGTTCTCCTTCTGTCCACCTTCCTTTACCCTAAGGAAGAGCTTCCTACTCTTTAATGGATAGGCAGTTTTCTTTCCCCTCTAGAACAACTCAAAGATGTGGTTTATGGCACCCAACAGTTGTCATTATGTCTGGAAGCCCTGCCAGTCTGTGGAGATGAGGATAAAGTGGAAATTTCTCTGCTGCATCAGAGTGAAAATCTTTTTGAACTGCACATCCACCAGGCTTTCCTGACGTGTGCTGCCCTGACTCAAGCTGGAGATGCTCAACCTACCACTTTCTGTACCTATTCCTTCTATGATTTTGAAACCCACTGTACCCCACTAGTTATGGGGCCACAGCCCCTCTATGACTTTACCTCCCAGTATGTGGTAGAGACAGACTCCCTTTTTGTGCACTACCTTCAAGGGGCTTCAGGCCAGCTAGAGCTACACCAGGCTATAGCGACTAAGCACCACACCCTCGCAGCTGGATGGATTTGCTTTGACAGGGTGCTGGACACTGTAGAGAGAGTCCATGGCTCTGCCACACTTACTGGTAAGTGCTCTTGGTGTCCCACAGCTCCCAGGACTAATGCAGAATTTCCCAAAGTCTGTAGTTGCTCTTCTGGTGGCTTCCCATTTTCTTCCTCTGCCTTTAGTCTTGACCCTCACCATAGCATCTGTATCCTCCATGTCTTTCATACTTTCTGCTACCCAGGAGCTGGTGGAGAGGACTTCGGGGTGCTAGAGTACTGGATGAGGCTGCGCTTCCCCATAAGATCCAGCGTACAGGCATGCAATAAGCAAAAGGAAGCTCAGGCCTACCTGTCAGCCAGTGTGCCTGGAGCCTGGGAGGCCCAGGAAGATGAGGTGAGAAAAAGGAAGTGTACATGCATCTCAAAGGAGCCTCAGCCGAGCAGCTCAGGAGAACAACTCTGTCTACCACTCTCAAAAAGCATTTGTTGAATGTGAATGAAAGAAAAAAATGTTACACCACAGCTAGTCCAAATTCTTCCCTTGGTCTAGCTTGAGTTTGAAATGAAATCATACCCTTGGAGCTAGCTCTCTCCTTGCTGTAAACAAAATAGCTTCCCTGTTCCATTCTCTAAGATAAGGCCTGCTGCCAGCATCTCCCTCAGATAACCATCTTCCAGAGCCAGTTTGCAGGCCAGGAAAGGTCATCAGGTTCCTCCATGACCCAGTCAGAATTCTGCAGTTTTCTAGGTCATAGCTCATCCTCATCAAGGGTACTAGGGTTCATCTACAACTCTCTCAGGCTGCCCTTTTCCTCAATCCAAGACCAACATCTTTCCAGTCTAGATCAGAGACTTGGAAGCATCAGAATGAGCTGCGGGTAGAAATCATCCGATGCTGTGGACTCCAGAGTCGATGGCTGGGAACCCAACCGAGCCCATACGCCATGTACCGCTTCTTCACCTTTTCTGACCATGACACTGCCATCATTCCAGCCAGTAACAATCCCTGCTTTAGAGACCAGGCTCGATTCCCAGTGCTTGTAACCTCCGACCTAGATCAGTACCTGAGGCAGGAGGCCCTGTCTGTCTATGTTTTCGATGATGAAGACTCAGAGCCTGGCTCATACCTTGGCCAAGTCCAAGTTCCCTTGCTTCCTCTTGCACAAAACAAATCCATTAAAGGTGAGAGTTCAAGGTTATTTCATCTTTATGCTCTCTGTCAGTGTTGTCTTCCTGTCCTAATTCTACTTTTCTTTGATTACTTGCTTGGAAGAGTCTCTCTTAAAGCCTGCTGAAAGAATTATAGGATGTTGTCAAGGGCTATAGAGTGGAAGACTTAGAACCCCACTAATCATATGGAAACATGGCTTCTGTTGCTGCTTTTCAGCAACAAAAGCAAGATTCCTGAGTGGGTAGATCCGCCAACCTAAAGTCCATACTGCTATCACCAAGCAAACATTTTCTGACTGTAGTGCTTCTTGGTACTTGTCTTTACTCAAGGCCCAGTGTTTCTTAGCACATGACTAGATATCAGATTATAAGCTGTGTCCTTAATACTCCCTTATAATTCTCTCGCTTCTTTTAAACATTAGACGCAAGTTAGACTTCGATCACACAGCATGGCAAAAGTTAATTTCTTGGATTCTTTTTTCCAATATGGAGCTGAACTTCATGCTACTTTAGCTTACTTTCATACCCAGAGTTGTGAGGAAAGGTCAACTCTGGTTGCAGTCCTGAGAGGGTGAGGCAGATGTTTCTGTGCTCTCATTGGGAAGTGTGAATGGGTACAGCCAGTACCAACCATGTTTAACAAGCTTCTGGATGTTCTAGGACCTCCTAATACCATAAGAACTAAAAAAAAAAAAAGCTGACACTTTTGCTCACAATTTACCCTTTACCAAAGAGGAGGTGATGCAATGTGAACCATCTGTTAATTAATCAGGTTTACAAATCAGAAGTCTGGTGTTTGGAGAAAGGCATTTGGCATAAGTTTTCTTGGCTCTTGTTATTTTAGAAATAGGGACCACTTGAGTGTAGAGAATGGCTTTCTTGGCATGCCTAAGGTGAGGCAAACGTTTGGTAATAATAATTTGATTTTGTTCATCGGCTGGGTGACTGATGACAAGCAAGCTGTACATCTCCATATATCTTTTAACTGTCCCTTCCTGAAACCTAATGATACCCATTTCCCCTATAAATATTCTAATTGAATATAAATACTCACTGTTATTTTATGTTACATCTGGGTATATTATCATCTTGACTATAATTACAAACAAAATATGGTGAAATTGAAATGGGGGGAATAGATAGGAGCTGATAAATAGTCACTTGCCTATTTCGTGATAGATAATCTTATTAAGATAGAATCTTATTAATGTCTTTGTGTTTCTCAGGTGAATTTGACCTCACTGACCCTGTGGGGAAACCCAATGGATCTGTTCAGATGCAACTAGATTGGAAGTCCTTCTACCTATCCCCGGGTAGCTACAGAAAGCCAGAGGAGAATGACACCAAGGACAGTTTAGGGATCTCATCTGAAGAGAAGAAGACTTCCTTTCTTCCCCAGGTAACAGATCTCCACCAATCCTGTTGAGCAGATTTAAGGAAGACAGTATTACAATTCGAGTTAAAGAAATTCCTTCTGTGAATGTCATGTATTCTGCAAACAATCTGCATCCCTCATGATGCCATGAGGCTATTGGTGGAGCAAATCCCTGGGTTTTATTGTGAGGAGGAGAGAGAAATGGCATTCCTTAGCATTATGGCAGGAGAAAAATGAAGTCTGGTGCTAGTTCACAAATCCCTTTCTTGAGTATCAGGACTGTTAAACTATCATCTTATAAGTCTGTCTTTGATCCTTCTATTTAGGACCAGATGGCATCTGCTGAGATTCCCATTGAAGCTGGCCAGTATCAAGCTAAGAGAAAACCTCCACAGATGGGAGAAAGAAAAGAAAAGGAACACCAGGTTGCAAGCTACTCAAGAAGAAAACGCAAAAACACAGGCATCCAAGGAGAGAACAGAATGGAGTATCTTAGTTGTAACATCTTAAATGGAAGCACACTAGAGGTAAGGCCATAGAAACCCTGAAGAAGTAAAATATAGTTTGTAATGTCCCCAAGTATATTAGTCCCAGAGGTAGAAGCAGAAGCAGATACTTAAGCAATAATCATGGCTTTTTGTGGTTACCCTGTGTTTCCATAAGCACAAGTAGTTTAATAAGCCTCTGTATTGTTAAATTTGTTTCAATGTAATTTAATTCAGCAGATTATGGACTCTTCAATTTATGCTTAGAACTTCTGTACCACAGTTCTAACCAGTCCACTTAAACTGTAATCAAAATAAATTAAACAAGTATTTATTGAGCACCTACTATGTGCTTTTTCCCCCTTTTGTTCATAGGAAATTAGATTAAAATTACTATGTAACACCTAAGATATACATGATATTATAAGTATATATTACACATAATTATATCATAATTTATACTGATTGTATATTTGTATTTATGTAATTGTTAATTTTATTAAATTATTATAATTATACAATATTTTTATATATAACTATATTGTCCTTATTCTGAAGCAGGTGAATTACACTGAATGGAAGTTCTCACAGCTTAAGATCTCCATTGATGACAGTTTAAAAAATCAGCAAAAAGAAGAGGAAGTGATATCGTCCCATTCAGCACTGATACAGAAGGAAGCCATACTTCCTGTAAATGGTATTGTCTTTTTAAAATCTAATTTTTCTATTTAATCACTGTATTATTGAATCAAGCCAGTTATTTATTGTCTTCCTTCACCTTGCATTGCTAAACTTATCATATAAATTAGTACTAACCCTAAGCTCAGTTTTATGTTACAAGTGTGCGGGTTAGGTCAAACAAGGCTGGAATTCTCAAAGAAAGTTGCTTTCTATGTATTTAAAGCTAGGTAGCTAGGCAGTTTAGTTACCTAGCAAGTATAGTATGTTAATTCACTCCAGGATCTTGTGAATTATGGTTACAAAGAAATAGAAAGAGTGTGATTGGCTCATTTGTGATGCTAATCCAAATTTCTTTTAAATTAAGGCAAGGCTTTTGTGTTACAATTAAAAGACCTGATTTCAGGTTATAGTAATGGCAAACTAGGTAATTCAGACCAACCCTCCCACTGATGACAACTAAAAAGCTAAAGTTAATGTATTTTTAAAAAATCATAATGTTTCTTAAAAGCATTAAAGAATCAAAAAGGGAATTACCTAGGGAGATGACTGGAGCTCAGAGAGGTGAGGTGGAACTGCTTCAGCCCTGGGACATTGCCAGTGGAAAGAGAAAACCATGCTTATGTGGACTTTTGAGGTGGGAAAATGGGCTACAGTCTGAATCTGGTGTTTGCCCAGCATAGGAATGTGTCTACTGGTGGCAGAATTCCCCACTCTGGTCTGGGACCCTGAAGACAGCACCATTGTGAGCCTCTTATGGTCTGCGAGGCAGAACTGTGCTTTGAGCACTTGCAGGGCTGGAGAGACAAAGACTGACCCCATTCCCACCAGGGCTACAGATACTGGAGTTATCAGACAACCTGCATAAGAACTGGGTTTACCAGCTTCATGGAGATAAAAAGCAGAACTTTAAAATTTCAGCAAGGAACTGAAGTTTGAAAATTGATGTTGTAAGTAAGTTTCTTAAGGCATTTTGTCTTAAAATAATTTCAAACTTACATGTGATCTACATGAATAGGACAAAAAATTCACTTAAGCCCTTCATGCAAATTCATCAGCTTTCAACATTTTTCCACTTCTTGCTTTATCATTTTTTCCAAAGATTTGAGAATGAATTATAAATATCATGCCCCCTTACTGCTCCATAGTTGAATAAGAAAAAGGAAATTATGTAACCATAGGACAATTATCAAAGTTGCAAATTTAACATAGATACATTGTTACCTATGTCCAGTACATTTTCAGAATTTGCCAATTGTCCCAATAAAGGCCATTATAACTGGCTTTTTTCCCCTTACCTAATCCAGAACCATGCATTGCATTTAGGCATGTCTCCTTAGTTTCCTTTAATCTGGAACAGTTCCTCACCTTTTCTTTGTCTTTCATGATATTGACATTTTGAAGAGTGTAAGTGAGGTATTCTATACAGTGTTCCTCAATTTGGATTTATCTGCTGGTTCTTCATAATTAGATTCAGGTTATGACTTTTTACAGGAATACCACAGAAATGATATTGTTTCTTTCTCACTGCATCACATTAAGAGGTACGTGATATCAGTTTGTCCCATTATTGGTGACGTCAACTTTGATCACTTGGTTAAGAAAGGTGTTTACATCATAAAGTTAACATTTTTTGCTTTGTAATTATTAGGTAATCTATGAGAAGTTATTTTGAGACTATATGACTATCTTTTCCTCATCAAATTTCACCTAATAATTTTGGCATCCATTTATGGTTTGTTTGTTTTTTTGTCTGAGTCAATTAGAAAATGTTTGCAAAATAAAATTTGGAAATAAATCAGTAAAAGTTACAGAGCTGGTCAATACAGAAATTTATGAGAGAAATAGATGGATTAAAAGATTAGACACAACTGAAGTGAGAGTTAGTGAAAATATCCAGAATAAAGCAAAGAGAGACATCAAATACAAAAGGGGAGAAGAGACATAAAGGATAAAATGACAAGATCTAAGCTACATTTAATTAAATGTAGGAGAAGAGAAAGAATGGGGCACAGTCTATATTTAAAGTAACTATAACTTAGAATTTTCCAGAACTGATAACAGATATTAAGATTCAATTAAATGAAACTCAAGGAAAAAAAAAATCCAAACCTAGACATATCAGAGTTAAAATGCCGAAAACAAAGTCAAAGAGAAAATGTGAAAGAATCCATTTTAAAGAAAAAGAAAGTGTGGGTCCATTGGTAAGATGGACAACTGACTTGTCAAGAGCTACAACTGTAGCAAGAAACCAGTGGCAAGTTACCTTCAATGTCCTGAAAGAAAATAACTGACAACCACGATGTTTCTACACAATAAAAATATCCTTCCAGAATGAAAACATAATAGACATATGATAAAACGTAAAGATAATCCAAAATGGAGAGTTTGCTTCCCCATCACATTTTAAAGAAAACTTAAATGTTGTTCCTTCTGAAGGAAAATTATCCCCAAAAGAAACACAAAGATGCAACAGGGACTGAAAAGCAAAGAACATGGGTTAATTTAAGTAACTGTATAAAGCAAAAATGTCTGCTTGTGGGGTTTAAAATATGTTTAGAATTTAAATAAATAATGTAGTGGATTCAGTGGTGGTCTCCAAACCCCAGAACCTTTAAAGTGTTATCTTATTTGAAATAAGAGTCTTTGTAGATGATAATAAAGATCAGAGCAGAAATCAGTGAAATAGAAAACAGAAAAAATAGAGAAAATCAATGATGCCAAAAGTTGTTTGTTTGTAAAGATCAACAAACTTGATAAGTCTTTGTCTAGAATGACTATACTAATTAAGATCCAAATGTGAGACAGAAACTACACGCAGGCAAACTTCAGAGAGATTGTGGGTTTGGTTCCAGACCACACATATAAAGTGAGTCAAATGAAATTTTTGGTTTCCCAGTGCATATAAAAGTTATATTTACACTATACTGTAGTCTATTAAGTTTGCAACAGCAATGTGTCTAAACATATAATGTATATACTTTAATTTAAAAATACTCCATTACTAAGAAATGCTTACCCGTTAACCAAACTTTGAACCTATTGTAATCATTGACCACAGATCATCATAACAAATACAATGATAATGAAAAAGTTTGAAATATTGTGAGAATTACCAAAATGTGGCATAGAGACCTGAAGTGAGCAAATGCTGTTAAAAAATGGTGTTGATAGACTTGCTCAACACAAGGTTACCACAAACCTTCAGTTTATAAAATTGCAATATTTACAAGCTGCAGTAAAACAAAGCATAGCTCAATAAAACAAGGTATGCCTGCAGTCACTTGAACAGGAAATGTTTACCATAAGCTATTAACTGTAGCAGGGGATTGAACTGGTGGGATAAGGATAAACTATTAAGGAGTAAAGAGAACTTAAAGAATACAAAAATAGCAGATTTAAAGAGCATCCACTAATCCTAAGAGCTGAAATGGAACACCCCAAGAAAAATTAGGTCTGGTAGATAACTGCCTTCATGGCTGAAATTCCAGACCTCATTGGAGAAAGTGAAATCAAGTTTTACTGAATGGCACAGAGGTTTGCTATGGCTCCATATTAGAACTCAGAGGAACTGTAAAGCTGACCTGTGGAATGTTGGAGATACACCATTACACAGAGAGGTTGCTAAGCCAGTGACATTTCACTATGAATCCACTCTAGGGGGTACCAAGGAAACTGCCCATGGGGAGGTGCCTTGTGCTACTGGCCACTGAGAACTGCTGGATTTGGATGTTGCAGAAGCCACGTGCTCCTAGAATTGTATTCTGCAAGAAAAAATGTGTGCTTCTGGGACCAAGCCCTGAGTTGCAGGAGCCTACAATGTGGTCTACAGAGTCCACATCTACTCCAGGAGTCTGCCTTAAAAAGCACACTGGAACCATGAAGAGGAATCTTTTTCTTCTCCAGTGGAGTGACCCTTCAGTGCCCTCTACTAACAAAACATAACATGGTGCCAACTGTCAAAGAAGACAGAGTTACAGAATCCACCTCCATTATTGCAGAGCAGGCAGTGAAGTTTTTTTCTGAGCAGAGAAGCAATAAATTGATAACTGGCATACTGATCAAGAAAAATAGAGCAAAGTCACAAGTTAGCAAAACCAGGAATGAATGTAGAGTCACTCAGACCCTGCAACTAAAATGATTATAAAAGAATATTATGAACAACTTTATGCAACTTAGATAGAAGAGACAAATTCCTAGAAAGATACAAATTACCAGAACTGACTCAAGAAGAAATAGAAGATAAATATTGACCTATAAACAGTAAAGACAATTAATTGGTAATTTAAATCTTCCCACACCAAAAAGTCCATTCCAGATGGCTTCACTGATGAATTCTATTAATATTTAAGGAAGAAATAATGCTGATCCTTCACAGTCTCTTTCAGAAAATAGTAGAGTGAAGGGAATTTCCAAACTCATTTCATTATAAAACTAGTATTATCTTGATACCAAAGCAAGCCAAAGACATTTAAAAAAAGAAAAACAAAGTATAGACCAATATCCATCATCAACACAGATGCAATATCCTAATTGAAATATTGGCAAACCAACCCAGCAAAATGTAAACAGGTTTTTAAAATTATACACTATAATCAAGTGGAATTTATTCCAGGAATGCAAATTTAGTTTAACATCAGAAAATGGATTGAATACAGTGTATAAATAGAGTAAAAGCTAAAAGCCTCATGATATCTCAATAGATGGAGAAAAAATATTTCACAAACTCCAACTCTCATTCTGGATAAGAATTCTCAGCAAACTAGGATTAGAAGGAAATTGCTTTAATCTAAGAAAGTACCATGAAACCTATACCTGACATCCTCCCTAGTGGTGAAAGAATGAGCACTTTTCCCGTAAGCCTGAGAACTGCAACAACAACAAAGGTGTCTGCTTTCACCTCCTGCTGAGTACTGTAGTGGAGAGTTTAACCATTGCAGTAAGGCAAGAAAAAGAAAGTCATATAGATTGGAAAGGAAATAGTGCTGTCTATTTGCAATTGACATGATCCT